ACAAGCCTAAAACCATTTTTACTTAACAAAGAACCAGAAACTAAATTCTTCCGGATGTCAGGTACATGTAGTACGTTGTTGAGGGTCAGTTCTTTTCCTGATGTCATCTTCAAGATCACTTTTCCTTGTCCAGCCACAGTAGAAGTAGAAGAATTTCCCATGAAAAGTTGTTCACCATTTGCAGCCTCAATGTAGGTAGTGAACATCTTCTTGTCCGCACATATGTGACGAGTTGCTCCTGTGTCAACCTACCACTCTTTGGGATTTCCAACCAAGTTAGCCTCAGACACCACATCAGAGAGGTTGATGTCATTCACCCCATCAGAGATGTAATCTAGTTCAGTTACATTGGCCTGATTGGTAGTCTTCTTGCTTGTACTTCCATGATCCTTCTTAGGGCGACGACAGTCAGAAGCTCGATATCCAGTCTTGCCACAATTATAGCATTTTCCTTTGAACTTCTTGTTGCTATCGCCTTGTTTAGGACCATCTCCAGTAAACTTCCTCTTTTTGTTATGTGGTTTATGAACTTGTTCAACCACATTAGCCTTGAACTCAATGGGATTTTTTCCATTCCTCTTTTCAGCCTTACGGTTATCTTCCTCAATTCTCAGTCTTACAATAAGTTCATCCATAGTCATCTCTTTGCATTTATGTTTTAAATAATTTTTGAAATCTTTCCAAGTCGGTGGTAACTTTTCCACTAAAGTAGCGACTTGGAAAAACTCGCTAAGAGACATACCTTCTGAATGAATATCATGCAAAATTATTTGAAAATTTTGAACTTGAGGAATTACCGTTTGGGAGTCTACCATAACGAAGTCCAGAAATTTACCGACAACAAATTTCTTCGTGCCGGCATCCTCTGTCTTGTACTTTTTCTCCAAAGAATCCCATAATTCTTTTGCTGACTTTAAAGGACTGTAAACATTATACAGCATGTTGTCAAGGCCATTGAGGATGTAGTTTCTGCACAAGAAATCTGAATGTTTCCAAGCATCTACAACAGCAACAACTTGCCGATCACTTTCACCCTCTTTAAGTGCTGGAGCCTTTTCATGGAGAAACCGGGCCAAATTAAGAGTTTTAAGATAGAATAGCATCTTCTGCTGTCATTTCTTAAACTCAGTACCATTAAATTTTTTCGATTTTTCTCCATGATTTATTGGTACTTGAACATGGTTCTGCATAGGGACCGGTGTTGGTGTAACAATTGGAGTACCACATCCAATTGCAGTTTCAGTTGTAGTAGCCATAAAATCTGATTACAAAAATCAAAAAAACAAACCACAAATTAATTTTCTAATTACTAAAACCAGAAAATAAATTATAACACAAAATAATTTTATTTTCCTTGTTACTAAAACTAGAAAAATAAAATACCACAATAATTTTTTGTAACACCAAATAATATTCTGCAATTGTTAATGACACTAGTATATTACTACTAGTTGTCAAAGAAAATAGACAGTATATTACTACTGTCTGTCAAATAGTTTATAATACTATTTGTATTTTCCAACCAGAATATCACTTTGAAAACACAGAAAATTAAATACAATAAAAACACCAAAAATATTTTGTCTTAAGATTGTTGGACAATCTTCACTGTAATTAAATTAATTAATTCTGTTTGGGTACTAAATGACAAACAAAATATAAAAGAAAAATAGGAAAGGAGATAGAAAGTTTGATTACAAAAATCAAACTAGAAATAGAATTAAATAAATAAAAACAGATTTTATTTTGTTACAAAAACAAAATTAAAATCTGATTTAAATAAATAATAAAACAGAAAATAAATAACTTACTTGATTAATATTTTGAATATTATTTTGATCAAGTCCAGTGTTCAACACTGTCTTCTTAAGACAGATTCGTCCTCTCCACGGTGTTTTCAGAATATGGACGTCTATCTCCCAGGATGAAATGATCAACTACAAATAAATGCAGCACTATAATTTATTTGTTCAAGGAACACACTAAATGTTTACACTCTTTAAATTAAATGCAACAAAATGAAGAATAAATTTGCAGAGGAGAAGTACGAAATTTCTGAATGTAAAACATCAAATGAGGACTGCATATTTATAGATGCAGTGGTGGCTATTGATATTGAATTAAACAGGTGCTAACCTGTTTTGAACAGGTATGAAAACCTGTTTGGTTTTGAATTAAACAGATTTAAATCAGTTGGGTTCAAAATTCAAACAGATAAAAACGAAAGGGACTTGTTTGGGTGTAGAGAAAAACCGGAACAGATTAATTCCGAAATTAATTTGAATTCTAGACAGTTGGACAGATTTTATTTCAAAAAATGAAATTAAATCCAAATGTTTCTAGCCCAAAAATATTAGTATTGGGCTGAGAAAGCCCAGCCCGCCCGGACAGACGAACGGCAGCGCGTGGTGTTTTTTGGGTCTATGGGGTCAAGCCCATTTTGTCCATAACCTCTCTCTCTACAAAACTTGGATATCCCTTGGGGCACATCCTAAGTTCCAATCACATGCCTTATAAATCCATTCAAAACTTTCCACCAAATCAATGTGGAACAAGCCATTTTCCAACTTTAAGGAATTTCCACAAAAACTCCATTTCCATGGAGCTTACTTTGGCTTCAATTTCCCATTCACTCGATAATGGTTTGAAGCAACCAAATATACCACGTGAATCACAACACGGCATAGAACGCGTTATCACTTTGACCCGCAAAAATCGACACACGGAGCCCACCTAAAAAATAGACCAAACTTAGGAAAAAATTCTAGTTTTATCCAGAATTTTCCAACCATTTCCAACAAAAAACATGGTTTTGGGTGTCCACGAGCCCGTCATTTCAAGAGTGGGCAAATGTGGAAGGGAAAGGTTTGTGGGTGCCCATCGTTCCGCCGTTTTTAGAGTTGGCAAATGTGGGAATACTTTCTGTATATAAATCTACATATGTATGTATTGTTTCACGGCTCTTGAGTGGGACGTCATAGCGTAATTACCATCCCATTGTTGTGGATGAAAATTTTTAAATGGAAATCATGCATCGAGCATCATTGATTTTAAAAGCAAAAATGCGGAATTTCTTAACACAGCATGATCATATGCATCTCGATCATTTACACACTCTGTTAATAGTATTCCTATTGGGCATTAGTTCACCCCAAACTAATAATATTTTTGGAATTGATGATGTGACTCTGCCCAAGTGACTTAGTGGTAAATGTGTTTTGAAAGGAATACGAAGGCTCAATGGTTGTTACTTGCTGAAGCTCCGAAGCTCTTTTATGATTTGGGACTGAATGTCCAATTTTGTTTAATCAAGGGCCATCCTTGAAAATGTATATGCCATTAAGGCACTACTCTTTTGAAATTTCTTGCTCTTTGAACTACTATCACTCAAGATTGTAAGTTTATGGAACAATGATACAAATTTCACCTGGAATAGTTCAATGAGAAAGATATTATTTGAGTAAAAGACTGTATTCTTAATGGTGTCTATTGTAACGATTGAAAAATATTTAATGTTTTTAATTATAAAAATGGAGGATAAATTTAAGGGCGTTACATCGTCCCTACCAACTATGCACACAATCTCTTCACATGTCCAGACCGACCACATTGGTAGCAAATGAGCGGCTGACCCCTACCTTGAAACTAGCTTTGAGAATGAGTCGTCTGTTGCTGGTGTCCTACTCTTCTGAGTACAAACTATGGCCCTGTGGCCTTGCTGGCCACATCGGAAACAAGTGACACGACTCTAGCTCGTACTCTCTAAACTCCTACCCAATAGAGGAGCAGAAGATCCGGTCCAAGGTGGTGGTGACTGAAACGATGAAGAACCTCTAGACCTCTTGGATGACCTCGAATCGCCCTGTGACTCAGAACCCCCTTGCCTCCGAAGTCTCTGTTGCTTCTCCTCCACCTCGAATTTTGTATTATTATGACTGCTGATACAGAATTAGTTTATGCATCCTTTATATTACTATGGTTGTTGACACATAGTTGATGCTTATTACCCAATAACTCATTATCACCTGATAATAGTTTTAAAACTTGTTAACTTCTCTACATAAATTTGAGGAAAAAATCCAATTCAAACTTCTGTTTTTTAAGTGCATTAGAAAAGAAGAAAAAATCAAATTTATGACTTCTTAGCAAAATACATGGTTCTAACCACTTAACTATGGTTGGTTGTTAGAAGTGGAACCATTAGATGATTGTTGGCATTCAACCATTAGATTGAAATTAAAATGGCCAAAATTTAGGTAGAAAATTTCGGTGGACAAGATTAAATAGTAAAAAAAATTCAGGAAAAAATTATTTTTAAATAATTGAGTTGAAAAGTGGCCAATAGTCTTTGAAATTTCGTTAAGATTGACCTACATCACATTAGATTTCCAGCCTACAGTATTAATATGAGCACCTGTTCACTCTATTTTGGATTTTGTAGTGACATGAAAATAAAATTATTTATACATATTTATCTTTTATGAGTAATTATATAATAAATGATTTTTTTGACAAATATTATTCATTTTTCTCTCAATTCCTCCCCCCCCCCCCCTCCCCCCCCCCCCCCCAAAAAAAAAGAGGGAAAAAACTCTTTTTAATATATTTATTTTCCCTTTCCTCTTCTTTTTTTTTTTAATTTTTTTGTTTTTTGGAGTGTGTGAGTGTGTGTCTGAATCAAAAACTTAAATACAATATTAATTTACTAATACAAAGAAAAATTAGTTGCACTCTCACAAAATTACTGCTACAAATCAAATAAACATAGAACTTGCACTATACTTCCCTTGTACGGTTTTGTATGGTTTTGTTATCTTTTCTGCTTACGTTCTTAGAGAAGGATTGCTATTCCAATTTTCATGTTTCAATTGAAATTTGGAATCCTGCTCTCTCAGATAACCATATTTAAGGGAAATATTATTATCATAAGCTCAAACATTATTATAATATCAGATAACCACAAAGTAATTTATACCATGTAACCATTGCAAACATCAGATTTTTCTAATGCAAACTCTTCTTAGACCTCTCTTTTAGAGGGTGCACTAGAACTAATATACATATCTACAAACACACACAAATATATATCTATATAAGAACGTATACTAGTTTTTCTTTTTTCTTTTTTCTTTTTTTTGACATTTACATCATGTTAAATGCTCTAAATCATGAACAAATATGTCAAAATGCAGTGTTAATTCCCCATATATGTAGGACCTCTCACTTGGGACTGTCTGCAAATGCCATTCTTTCTCTTTGAGGTACTGAAGAAGTGGTGGCTGCTCAGCTCTAAACTCTGTCGAGGCACCACCACACCCGTCACGGCTCGGCCTATGAAACAGCTTCTCCCTTCTTTGATCACCCGTGTGCAGTTGCGGGCTCTCCAAATACACCAACTGGTGAGGAGGACTCAAGGGGTTTCCCCACCCGTCACAAAGATCAAACCTTGACGCGTTGTCGTGAGGAGCACCATAAAAATTTCCAAGGGTTCCCGGTGCATAGAAGTGAACCGGCCACGCTTGACTACTGGCTCGATCAAGATTTTGTTGATTTTGTTGACTCGTTTGGTGAAGCCATTATGAGGAACTCAATCCAACAACCAGTTGGTATCCGGTATTACCCAAATTTGGAATACTCGGGCCAAAACTGAACAGTCCATGATTACCCGACCAATTCGCATAGCTGCTAAGCGGTGATGCACCAAGAATACCATCTGTCTCTTTAATGGAATCGCCACTAAACCAAATGGCATCATCGGGAAGAAATGGTGCAGATGGCATGGGAGCAGAGTAGGGAGGAGGAGAGGGAAATTGCTGGGAATCAATTATAGAATCTTTGGTTTCGTTGATAGAGAGACCGGTCAAGGAATCAGGGGCTACTTTGTCAATTGGGCTTAACCCGGGTTCAAAAAAGTCCTTGCTTCGTTCGCTTTTTCAAATCAGCAATGCTAGGTATCATGAAAAATCTTTCATGAAAATGATCATGAAAGATTTGTGACCTTTAGATTACACTTAGAATAAAGCATCACACACTAATCAAGGTAATCTAAGGGTCACAAATCTTTCATGATCATTTTCATGAGAGACTTTTCATGATCGCTAACATTTCTCTTTTCAAATTGTGAAATCTCTCTATCTAGGACCCAAGCACTGAGTGAAGGTGGCCCAGCCGGATATGTAGCAGTTTCCTTCAACAGAGGCTCTCGATGCTTGAATGGCGTGTTGCGTCTGAAATTACCAGCATCAGAACAGAAACTCAAAGGATCCATCTGGTTTTGCGCCATGAACAGTGATGTGGCACGGCGAAAGCATTCATTAGAGGGTGTTATTTGGTCCTTTTTACCTTCCACATACATTTCATCATCCGTGGTAGAAGTATGGATGGGGACCGAGTTAAATCTCGTGATGGGCTTAAAGAGAATGACTTCTTCCTCTTCTACAGCAACAGATTTGCCATTTTCAAACCGGCGACTTTCTTTTTCTCCAATGATATCTCTCCTGTTCTCTTTGGTGTGTCCACGTTTACTCTGTTGGGGATCTTTCACTTCAACATCTGAACTAGACTCGGCTACTCCTGCTTGTCTATGCCAATAGAGTCCTTTTACTTTTGAATCTGAATTGAGCTCGGCTACTTCTGCATCTCTCTGGTCCAGAATTTTTTTTGATTCTACTCCGCAGAATTTTCTCCCCAAATTATCAAAGAAGATCCACTTTGGAGAACCATCTGATCTGTCCACAATTTTTGTTGTAGCATGAAATAAATGCGGTGAGCACGACACACATTTCTGCTTTCAAAATTCCCCATATTTGTTGAATGACCCGCGAAATCCAACAACTCGTGTGCATGGGCTACCAGTGCGAAGCCCCTCAATTCATGATCTTCCCAAAGAGCTGTATGGTCTTCATATTTAAATCTGCTCTCATTCTTATCAAGTTGGTTTAGAAGGACGACAAAAGCATCGAAAAAATAAGATACAGCGGCTCTTACTTTTTCACAAGCATGATATGTTTCTACTTTATCGAGCACGCCAACCAACCACTCTACAAACACAAGCACGGGAGGCAGAAGCGGGGTGAGTTCCAGAGGTTTATTACCCGTCATACATCTCTCAACAAGGCGAGCCATGCAAATGTATGTAGCAGTCAACGCCGATTGTATCAACATAGGGTTGTTTTTCTCCATTGCCTCCATGTGCTCTGATCTTTCAGTTAGGCTATCGATGATGAATATGAGTACAGAGACCATTTGAAGGGCTCGATAAGGGCCTGTTCGGGATGAATCCATATGTTGGTAACACTCCAATGTAGATTTTAGTTCGGTATCATCTAGTGCCAACAGAGAGTCCATCTCTCTCATGGTCGATGCGAAAGTGCAAGGAAATTCATCCAGGCTGCATTGAATCAAAATCTTAAAGCCTACATCACGTCTCAGATAGAAACAAAATATAAACTCCAAAAATGCATAAGGTGAAAATTACTCGGACATCCCCTAAAGTTCGAAACAATATTTGAGTACCCTTGATGTTATGTTTGTCTTTATTACATATCGGATTTAAAACATCATTTCAAATATATCAAAATCCTAATAGTCTTCTTTTCCATGCTAAATCTTGGGTTATCATAAAATTTTCAAAGAAGGCAGTGCTTAAGTAACCATGTAAGCAGAGGGATGTCTAGGTCAATTTTGAAACTTCGAAGGCATCCTTTAGTATCATGTAAAATGTGTAAGACCCACTTCCTTTTTGTGTTGTTTAAGCCCATGGTGGGAGTGGATGCCATGAAAACAGTAAACTGTTAAAATTAAGAAATACTGTAAAGCCGTCCGTTGTGGGAACCATAATCTATTTATTTATTTATAAAAATTCACAAGAATTCATATTGCAAGTTTGATAAATGGTGGTATTCAATCCATTTCAGGAAAAAGAGAAGACAAATGAACCATAATCTAAATTCAAGTCATGAATACAACACAAAAGATGGTGAATTTTGTACTTTTTCAAAGTAAATGAACAAGAACATTCTCCAAATAACCTAGATACTCATGGAAGGATGTAATTTCATGTTCCAGGATCTAACCAAAAATTAAGTGTACTCCACAATTAAGTTAAGTGGCGGTGCCATTTAGGCTCATGAAATGGAGTTCAGCTCTGGATAAATGACAGTGCCAACTGGGAAACTGTCAATTTATTCGCAGCATGACTCACGACATTCCCATATCATTGTTACATGTCCTGGTCAAGTTGAGGATTGTATCGATATTTAATCATGGATTATGAGGCTAGCAGATGAACATTCACTCAAAATCAAAGGTCGATCCGCTATAGAACTTCTACGAAGGACCGTATCTTTAATGAAGATTAGGTTAGTAGATGAGGATACTAGGGACAGAGGAATAAGATGATACTTAATAAGTGGATAAAAACATAATATATGAAGCAGTGTAACAACAGAAAAGGGATAATATTATAGTGAAGAAGATGCATCACCAAAGCATTTCATGTATATACCACATATCAAAAACAAAATGACACATCACTACATACATAATAGAATATGCTATATAGAACCAATATTGCAAGGAGAATCTGCAAGTATGGATTACCTGGATTCAATGAAAAAGAAACTTATCATTCTGACAAAAAGAGTCCATAGATCACTGTTTGCCGAGAAACTGTGTTTAGTGCCTTGCAGTGTATCATTGTTGAAGGAATGAAAGCGCGATTGTGATTCATTCGGTGAGGTACTTCTTTCAGATGGATTTAAGAAATTGAAGTGGGCCTCCTTAGAAAGTGAATGTAAATGAGATGACCTGTTCTGCAAAATCACAAGAAGCAAATGAGTAGTGCAAGGAATAAAAGAAATGAATTACAAATCCGTAGGAATGTCGAAAGATATTATTCATAAGCAAAAATAAGGTGAGAAGAACATATTTACCTTTTCAAAGAGAAAAATAAGATTATTCCAGGCATCAGGAAAAGGTTCTTTAATGGCTAAACTCCTTATGCAATGGTATAGGGCCATGTAATCATCCCCAACATATGTTGCCAACACTGCCAACTTCAAATGAAAACACAAAAATTATATACCAAACTATTTCCAAAACCTGCATTCGAAAATATTTCTAAAAGCAACTCACATATTAGGAAACAGCAAAATTCTGTTGTTGAATTTTCAAAAGTTGCTTTAGCATAAAAAAACAAAAGAAAAAAAAAAAGCAACAACAAAAACAATTAAATAAGTGAAGAGACAACCAAACAAACCCATAATAAGATCCTGAGCTGAGTAGAGCGTGATATAGAATGAAATACCTGATTTTGGGGGTTCCCACTATCTGGCCAAACTAATGTTGCTTTAAAGTAGTAGGTTGCTGCAACTGACCAGTCATGTCTTGGAAAATCAAGCTTCTTACACAGTTCCCTGTATCTAGCTAGATCGCCAAGACAAACTAAAAAGCGATGGCATGAAAATTGACACTTTCGCAATTTTGCAGGGTCAACAACACATGAGATGTCATGGTTTTCATAAAACAAAGGATCTTCAGGTAGCTCATAACGTCTTCTGAGTTTTGTGATCAAATCTTGGTAAAATTCAGTTGCTTCTGATAGAAATACCTTGAATCGCTCCATATGGCAATCTATGCTGCTCTGCAGATTGGCAACATTTAGTAGAGTTGATGAATTCGTACTCTCAGAATTTGCAGAAGTTTGCCTAACTCTTTTACGAAATTCATCAACATGCTTATAGTGAAGCTTCCATAAGGAAAATTCAATGTCTTGAAGTTCCACCCCTTCATCATTGTTCAGAATGATTTTCTCGTAACCAGAACGAACTTTGAGATACAAGTCTTGAACTTCTGTCTGCAATAGGCCTTTGGAATGGATGAATGCCCACAACTGTTTTTCTGCATTAGTAACCTGAATGCACAGCAAAAATTCAACATTCACAACTCATGCATTCTACTGTCATAATTAGATAGCAGGTATTGCTGACAAGTGCCCCTGGGGCATAAGAAAAAGACCAAAAAAACAAAAAAGTGAATACCACAAGATACTTTTCTCTAATTTCAAAACACTTTCCATTGATTTCAAAACTCGTTTTAATCTTTTACCATTTTCAAAATTTTAATCTTTAAAACACTTTTTACACAAATTCTAATATTAAACGATGTTCCATGGGCACTTGTTAGCATTCGCCTTCAATAATATACAAAATCTTGCACAAAAGTGAAAATTGGGATGCAATTGTGGATTCACAAAATTACCTCAAGGAAAGGATTCTGCCTTTCCCTGTGATCTTTAAGGGGAATGCACGAATCAGGATTCATGATGAGCGCAAACAAGAAGCTTCGTCAATTGTGAACAAACTTTTTGGTATTGGAGCAATATGTCTGTGCTTGCAAAATAGCCGACCTGTTTACTGTAGAATCCATCCATCAGAAATTTAAGATAAAGACAGAGAGATATTAACTATATCATGATTCATGTCTTCATGACATCTTGTGAGTAAGAAGAACAATATATACAGTGTTTGCCTAAATTTTAAACCTCTGCCAAATCAGACTTTTATCAAGCACAAGAAATGCAAACCGATGGGTTTGTATTATTAAGTGATGAAAAGAGCACTGCAATGAGTCTATAACTGTTAATTCATTCAATTGATCTTCAAAACATTTGCTATTATGAGATTCATTCAGCTCAAGTGCCATGAGAAACAAAAATGTTTCATCCAAATGCAATGTCAAAAGAATGCAAGGGCCACAACCTTTAAACTCTCAAATTTTATTAATCAAACTCTGAATAATACCACGCCAAACATTCTTTTAGGAAACTGAATATTAATAACACTCCTAATTAACCTATACTTAAAGAAAAAATAAATATAAATACTAAAAGCAAAAAATTATCAAATTGTAAATAAAGCTTCCATGTCAAAGTCCGTGTCCGCGTGCATGAACATTGAACTCCATGTTTTGCATCAACTTATCACTTCAATGAAGAGAATTCATCACTGATCACAATAGACTAAAGCCCCCCAAAACCCTACCCTAGCTATATATCATTTTCAAACCACTATATCCAACAATAAAGGAAAAAGATTAACTCAGTGAAAATAATCCACCCAGTAGATGATAATGAGGATCATCATCATCATCACTGACAAATTCATAATATAGAAACTCTGAGACAGGCATTCAAACATGCAGAAGTCAATTAATCAAGCATTTAATTTAACCCAGATAATTAAAAATTCAATTGATCATAATTACAGATAATAGACAAGATGATAAAAAAGAATTCATGTAAATTGAAAGATTTGTCACTGAAATCAACAAAGAAGTCATCACATCACCTAAAGAAACAACAAACTGGAAAGGGGGAAAAAATGAAAATCCCAAATGATAGCATCAAAATTGAGCAATAAAGATCCATCATACAGAATTTGAGGAAGTTTCTTGATCATGAGAAGATAAAAAATTGAATTAAATGAAGAATATATTAACCTTTAGCCCACTGGAAGTATGTGAAGAATTAACAAAGACCCATGAAATGAAGTGCAAAGACTTTGAAGGCCCAGAAACAGTTCCCACAAACTAGCCAAGAACAAAGGTACACATGTAGAGAGAGAAAGAGAGGAGGAAGAGAGAGAGAGAGACTTGGGCGGGGAGGGTAACTTGTGGTTCAAGCTAGATCAATTAGAATATATTTTACTTTCTTGGTCATCATTTTTTAAATTGTAATTAGGTCATGGCACAATCCGATTTTTTATTTTGATTTTTGAGTTTATGTATAGTTTAAATTGATATTGGTTGCTAATTATTATGGTCAATTGTGGTGGTTGGATCAATAAATTCTTATATTAAAATTAATTATAATTGATTATGATTGTTTAGTTATCTACAAAAAATTATATTTAATTGTGACTCATTATAATAGATTGAGTTATCACCAAAGTGATATTTGTTCATCCTTCATCTCCTATGGCCCAATGTGACTAGGAATTGCAATGGGACGGGTTAGATTGTCCTCGATTTGCATTCTTCCATTCTCATTACCTATTTTGTTAGAGTAGTGGGGACGAGGCAGAGTGGGGAAAATTGGAAAGGTTGTAAGGGAAGGGCTAGGAAGTATTTGCGTAATTTGTCAGCTTTTTTTAGATGAGATGGTACTAATGAGAAAAAAAATTGATATAGTGTAAGAGAGAATAAATGAAAATAATATCCAAATTCATACCGATATAGAAATCCACACACGTTTAAATATGATTAACCTAAGATTGTTGGCCCCACACGATTCAATCAAAATCATTGTAATGTTTGGTTTAGTTTTTAAAATATGATTTAGATCAAAAAATAAAAAATAAAAAGTTTTTTTGGTTAACAAACTTTTAAAATACAATTCAGAATTCAATTTTCTATTTCCTCTCTCATTCTCTCTTTTTATTATTAATAAATTAATCAATCAATTTTTCTCTCCCTTCTCTCCTCTCTCTTCTCTCATTCTCTCACATTTGACACATCAATTAATCAAATTTTTTCTTACACCCATTTATTCAACTAAAAAATAAAAACAAAAAAAATTACAAATCATCCCAAAACTATTTTTAAAACTCATAACCAAACTCAACTTTCAAAGCTATTTTCAACAATTTATCTTTTAAAATACAATTCAAAATTCAAAACTTATTTAAAAAACTAAACCGAATAGAAGTGTAGTTTCAACCCATGAGTTGGAACCTAAAGCATAACTTGAGAATAAATACTAATGATTAATGAGAGTTAAAAAAAAATAAAAAAAATGAGAGATTAAAAAAAAATGAAATATATAATATTTTAGTGTGTTACTCTTATTAAATTTAACAAATTAAATCACATATAGACATATAATATAAAAATTATTTATTTACTTATATAATTAGTAAAAATAAATACCGTCCTCTCATGTTCTTATTGAGACGGAAAAAACCGCACAAATTTAAGACACCGAATGCGAGGCTAAGTGAATTGCATCCGCAAATCTGACTAAGACGGCTCAAATTAATTTTATTTTTTTTCCAAGTCCGATGACTTAAAGGTTGAAGTCAGGTCGAAGTCGTATTACATGTATTTTTTTTTTCTTTTTCTTTTGGGTGTATTGGAATTCTCCTTACATGATTGATCATATTTTAAAGTTTAGTCATTTTCTATCAAATAAATTTAATATAATTATATCGATTTCTTTATCATAAAAGAAAATTAAGTGTAACTAAAATACATATTATACAAATATATGTATACTCAATGATAAAATATATATTAAATATAAAAAGAAAAGTAACATTACTTTTTGATCCCTATTACTAATAGCATGATGGATGTTTAAAAAAAACGAAGATTTATGAAAATTTAAACATTCGAAAGCATGGTGTAATTGTAAAAAACTTATAAGTTGATTGTATTTTTGTTAAAATAAGTGTAATTTATACAAAAATTTAATTGTAATTGTTTCATTTATTTATTTATTTTTATAAGAACAATTATTCGTTAAAATTTATTTTTGATTGATTTGTTATGAAAACAAATCAAATTTAAATACATTATAAACCTGCTAATTTACCCGTGCTTCATTAATCTTGATTCAATAAATTTATTTACATTATAGAATTGTATAAAAATTTAACTTTTTTGAACTTGTCTTAATCAAATTGAATAGAGCTTGCTCAAGATTAGTTAAATGATAACGGTAAATGCTAACGAGTGTCTTGAATCATTGATCCAGTGGACAGTGTCTTGAAATAATTGAAAAAGTTAAAAATATATGAAATTTAATAGGAAAATGTCTCGTGCCTTGGGAGAACTTGTTAATAACAAAGACATTAAATTTACATAATATTTTTCTCCTTAAATTTTTAAATCAAATTCAAATAATTGATTGCACAACTTGATTAAATAAGGTGTGTTGTGCATTAGTTGGTGTTGACAACGTTGGATACTAGAAGTGGTTAACTGTTTTTATATTAAGACTGAGAACAATTTTTTTAGTAATTTTTTAATTTTTTGACTAAAATATAATATAAAAAAATTAGTATATTTGGAATAATTTTTTAGTTTTTTATAAAAATATGTGTAAAAAGTAGAGAGAAAAGAAAATTTTTGACTTTTTAATATAAATTGTTGATTTTTTGATTTTTTTAATAACTTTTTGGCTTTTAGATTAAAAGTGATGTTGCCAAACGAGACCTAAAATTCCGTTTGGAAATTGTGTTTCCGTACTTGTTTGTAGAAAATTTATTGATAAATTTTATAAGAGAGAATGGCCTATTTTTGAAAAGTGAGTTAAAAGTGATTTTTCAACTTTTAACCACCCCTCTCTCAAAAAAAAAAATAAAAAAAAGTTAAAAAGTCAAAAAAAAACTAAAAAATCAACTTTTAAGCATATTCACAAAACACCCCAATGTTAATTCATTTAGTCTTGAGAATTTTTTTATAAATCAATTAGTTTTGTTATTTTAAAAAGTTGTATTTATTTGATTTGATATCATTTGAGTTTAAGTGAATGTCTTTTTGTAATTTATTTTTTTTATTTTTTAATTCATTTTTATGATGAGAATGAAAATATGAGGTATGAAAGATTCTTTTTGAAATGATTGATAGCTGAAGTGTTGGTTGTGTGTTATATTAGATTGTTATACTAACGAATTTTTTTGTGTGTTACATTGGCGTGTTACATTGGGTAAAAGTACACTAAAGAGTTTTTGTGTGTTACGTTGATTGGAATGTTATGTCTGAAAAAAATACACTAAATAACTTTTTGTAAATGTTACGTTGTTAAGTTTGAATACATTAGAGTGTTACGTTTACAAAAACACAATAAGGAATTTTTTTGAAGTGTTACGTTTGTGTTTAGTTGGGAGATTTGGGAAGGAATTTGAAAAAGAAAATGAAAAATATAGACAGGGCCGGCCCTGAGATTTTCGGGGCCCAAAACCGATAATCAATTAATAAATTTCTAGTGCCCTTCACATTTTTTTTTCATTAAATGAAAAAAAAAAATTGTAAGTAAAGGACAAAAAATTTGTGTCAAAATCACAAAAAATACTTAGCATTACATTACAATAACTAATAAGTATCGCTTGATGGAAAGGATTCTGCCTTTCCCTGTGATCTTTAAGGGGAATGCACGAATCAGGATTCATGATGAGCGCAAACAAGAAGCTTCGTCAATTGTGAACAAACTTTTTGGTATTGGAGCAATATGTCTGTGCTTGCAAAATAGCCGACCTGTTTACTGTAGAATCCATCCATCAGAAATTTAAGATAAAGACAGAGAGATATTAACTATATCATGATTCATGTCTTCATGACATCTTGTGAGTAAGAAGAACAATATATACAGTGTTTGCCTAAATTTTAAACCTCTGCCAAATCAGACTTTTATCAAGCACAAGAAATGCAAACCGATGGGTTTGTATTATTAAGTGATGAAAAGAGCACTGCAATGAGTCTATAACTGTTAATTCATTCAATTGATCTTCAAAACATTTGCTATTATGAGATTCATTCAGCTCAAGTACCATGAAAAACAAAAATGTTTCATCCAAATGCGATGTCAAAAGAACACAAGGGCCACAACCTTTAAACTCTCAAATTTTATTAATCAAACTCTGAATAATACCACGCCAAACATTCTTTTAGGCAACTGAATATTAATAACACTCCTAATTAACCTATACTTAAAGAAAAAATAAATATAAATACTAAAAGCAAAAAATTATCAAATTGTAAATAAAGCTTCCATGTCAAAGTCGGTGTCCGCGTGCATGAACATTGAACTCTATGTTTTGCATCAACTTATCACTTCAATGAAGAGAATTCATCACTGATGACAATAGACTAAAGCCCCCCAAAACCCTACCCTAGCTATATATCATTTTCAAACCACTATATCCAACAATAAAGGAAAAAGATTAACTCAGTGAAAATAATCCACCCAGTAGATGATAATGAGGATCATCATCATCATCACTGACAAATTCATAATATAGAAACTCTGAGACAGGCATTCAAACATGCAGAAGTCAATTAATCAAGCATTTAATTTAACCCAGATAATTAAAAATTCAATTGATCATAATTACAGATAATAGACAAGATGATAAAAAAGAATTCTTGTAAATTGAAAGATTTATCACTGAAATCAACAAAGAAGTCATCACATCACCTAAAGAAACAACAAACTGTAAAGGGGGAAAAAATGAAAATCCCAAATGATAGCATCAAAATTGAGCAATAAAGATCCATCATACAGAATTTGAGGAAGTTTCTTGATCATGAGAAGATAAAAAATTGAATTAAATGAAGAATATATTAACCTTTAGCCCACTGGAAGTATGTGAAGAATTAACAAAGACCCATGAAATGAAGTGCAAAGACTTTGAAGGCCCAGAAACAGTTCCCACAAACTAGTCAAGAACAAAGGTACACATGTAGAGAGAGAAAGAGAGGAGGAAGAGAGAGAGAGAGAGAGACTTGGGCGGGGAGGGAAGTTGGAAAGAAGTGAAATCAAGCTTTGCCCACTTGTGCTACTCTGTTGTTAATCAGACAAAAGTAAAGGTAGCTGGTTTTGATGACCCAGTCAAATTACTGTCTTACCCCTTTATTTTTATTTTTTTTCATAAAATAATACTAATAAAATAGAGGAATGCATTAA